CAATGCCACAGTGTGATATAGATCGTCCTGTCCTTCGGTGGGTTACCATGAGGCCAGTTAAACACAGAAAATCCGGGTCAGACCCGCATACAGGCACTATGTGACATACGGGTCCGCACAACGGTATGTAGCGGTGGTAACTATTCGCGAAGGAACGCTGGTGCATGCGGAAGTGTTGCCCTCTGACATTCTGGACGTGCGTGTTACGTGCGTCGCGGCTGGTGACTAAGTAGTGGTAACGAGCGCCCAAAGATACGGCACTTTGTCGGCATCGGCACGTAGAAAAATGCACACGGAATTTGCACCGTTTTGGGAAAGGTTTATTTTCTGGAGAGTGGAGTCATGAAGTAAACGGATGTTTGTGTTTATAGGAAGGAGGGCCTGCTTGAGAGAGGCCCACATGTTCAAAATCATGACCGGAAACCAACATTGCAATCAGAGATCATGTTTGCTTCTTGGGCTGCATGAGCAGTGCACACAAAGATAACACGTTTATAAGATAATTAGCACGTTTAGCTTACAAGGCTTACAAGCTTTTACACGCAAACTAGCAAATTTATGTGTTTTGAAGCTGTGGGCAATCACGACATGGTCACAAATCACATGAAATCGTGTCCTGCAGTCCTCATTGCACGGTCTATCCGAGCCGTCTAAATCGTTGTCTGCAGTGGCCACTGGCAACGTTATAAAGAGCCTTTGCTTATTTTTACAGACTTCACAAAAGTACCGCTACTGAAATGAAAAAAGTAGATGACAGGCTGATTTGAAGTCAAACTAGAAACATCGTTGTTTAGAAAGTTGTGACAAAAACATAGTTTTTCATAGCACTTCGATCTAGAGTTGTATAATCGTTTACTGGCGATCTGCCGATAAGGTTACATCGTTTCTGTGAAACTTAACTTTAGTAACGCGTTATCAGACCTAATAAGGAGCTGCGTTTGATCTGGACCACACAAGGCGTATCGGCGTTACGAGAGCGGCTTATTACGAAAGGGGAGGAATGGGTCAATGTTCTTTTTACGCATAAACTGGAAATGATGCACTCCGGTGTCCAATATAGCGTAATGGTATTGATGAAGACCACGCAGGCATAGCCTGTGGTTAGTGGTACCTATATCAGAAAATGCAAATATGCGACTTAGCTTGTATTTCAGTTTTTCCTAAACATTTTGCTGCTCTTAGAAAGCCAATTGTCTTTTCTTTAAAAGGAATATTCCGCCCTCGAAAAGCATTACACAATGCCGTGACATAATGTCAGAATGACATTCCATGACCGTATAGGGGAGCCTGTCGTCAACACAGATAGCTTAAATCTTAGGTAACATAGGATCCACCGAGCAATATTATCGGACATATCACGACACATGCGATAACCAAAGAGCAAAATAATGCTCAGGGTGACCCGTTATGCAATATGGTAATAGCTGGTCATGGGATATTCGTCTTAGATGCACTCGCTCACGTTCGCCGATTCTGCATACCTGAGCTGTCACTTGCAAATGGGAAGGTCTAAAAGGAATTTTTACGAGTCCGATTCCATAGATATGGATTGCGTGCGTACGCAATAGCATTGTACAAACGAACGAAAAAAAGCTGAATTGCTTTGTTATGAAACCTTCAATTTCATGTTAACTTGAAGGGGAGACATCTGCACATGCTTCCCCAGCACGTTTAGGTGGCAGACTTATGTTATAAACAATTGTTATTTAGGCAAAAAAAGTAACAAACCGGTGCATTTTTACTTGGACTTGACTTATAGGCGTCTCGTGTCCACCGTCTACATAAAGGGAAAAAATATCCATGGATGAGAATGAGATAATATTATCATGAATAGATAACGTTATTTCATCCATGGAACAGCCACGCTCACATCCTCATTGTCTGACGTCGGTTCCGTCCCTTCGCCGTGCAGCTTTGCCATGATGATGCCACCGCTGCTGGAGGTCTGGGGCAGGCTGGGACTCAACGAGCGCACCTTCTCCTGTACCATTCTCAAGAAGGACGGCAAGTCGCCCAAGAAGATGCTGTTCGCCATCGGTATTCTCATCCCGTGTGTCATCATCATCACCTGCTACACACTCATCTTCATCAAGGTCCGACGCAGCCGGCGTGCTATCCGAGGACACAGGTGAGAGCTGGGAGGGGAAGAGAGGGAGAGAGGAGAGGAGGAAGGGAGAGAGAGAGAGAGAGAGAGAGAGAGAGAGAGAGAGAGAGAGAGGAGAGAGAGAGAGAGAGAGAGAGAGAGAGAGAGAGCGCGCTAAGAAATTGGAAGGAGCCCTCAATAACTAACAGGGTAGGAAAGAGTACCGGCGTGGGAATCCAGTTCCCCTCTCCTGATCTATAACAGATGTGCCACTGGCGTCCATGGAAAGACTAACGGGTCGCCACCGGCCCAGCGGGCGCTCGCCCGGCCCGACCATCCGGGAGGCGATTATTTTCCCTGCCAGGCGTGCTTACCCTTTTCTGAGCGAAACTAGACGTGTGCTGGTCAAACAGGGACGATGGGTTTATGTTCCGACGACGGTGGTATTGGCAACGTCGGACCAACGTCGGACGACGGCGCTGCCAGGGGAGAAGGGAAGCGGAGATGGCGGTTTTAGGTTTCTGTAAACCGTCGGTATGCGTAGATGTATTCGAAATAACGATAGCGTAGGTATTGCGATGTGAAGATCTCAGCTGATATCTTATATAATTATATTTATTTAAAAATGGCTGTGATGATATCTGATTTGCTCGGTTTGGCTTGTTGCTGATCGCTGCTTTTTTCTTGTTTATGAAGCGTTATCGTGAGGTTCCGTACTTCCCGAAAATTCTTGCTGCGTTGTGGGTATTGCACAACTTATCATGATTAGTTGAACATACTTGGTGATCCTATGACAGCCTAATTGCGTGCTTACTGAAACCTTATGTACGTATGACAAACAGCTGTTTCCAAACAAGGACATCTTCGCAGCTTCTGTGGTTGACTCTAATTTCATAAATACATCAGTTGCTTATCTGAAACATATAGAAATCTCCTCATCAAGACATGTACCGGACTCCAAAGCTTTCAACGCACAATCTTTTCAAAGGCTGCCGCGAATAGCGGTTCATTTCGAGGTGGATACCGACTTTGTGCCAGTAAAGCTACACCTCTGTGTTTGCCGCCGTTGGTCGGTTGGCAGTGGTCGCTCTGCCGTACGGCCCCCGGTCCCGTGCGACGGTCCAGGACGGCTCCAGAGAGTCGCCTGGTTTGTGTCGTATAAATGCGTAAACAGAGACCGACCGTCGCGGCGCGCCCCTGTGCGCCGGGACATGGGGTGTCGTCACCCCGATTTGGGCCGATGCCCGCGCAAAACAAACACGTCGATAGCCGTGTCGTGTCGATCTAGTCGTCTCAGGGTGATCGGTTTGTTTCTTGACGAGACAGAGACGGCGCTGAGTGACGGACGACGCCACGGCGCTCGTCTGTCGAGAATTGACCGGAATTGGCAGATGACAGTGTTGGGAGAAACGACTGGGCCGAGTGTTTGCTGCGACACCTATAGACAATCGTGTGAACTAAAGGCTTGTTTTTCTGCCGCAGTATGCACGGAACCAGAGGTTCGGCCAACATCACCGTACAGCATGGACAACAGAAAGATGCCGCGGCCAGAAAGGAGGACCTGCGCATCACCAAGATGATGGCCACCATCTTCTTCGCCTTCCTGGCCTGCTTCTTCCCGCTGATGCTGGTCAACGTGTTTGACGACGATGATGTAAGTCCTCGTGTTTGGCCCAGTCAAGGAAGAAAAGGGTTTAGGTCAAAACGTAATCTAATCATTTGTTTATCTATCCATCACAATTCACATCACTATATTGTCAATAGATGTTCGCATTAAATGCCGTTGTTGTCATCGAATGCTGCTTTCTTCTTTGATCAAATAAGAGCTGAGGCCTCTTGCACCAAAATCCTCTTGCACCAATGCTTGGCTTATTTTGCATCGTATACCCAGTCCAAGTCTCAAATGTAACAATTTGCGTGCAAAATTTAGCAAACACATGTAGGATTATGTATTGGGCTATTGCAAACAAATTTACCACCGTTAGATTAGCTTATTCTGAAACCGGTTTTTCGATTTTACCTAGCTAGGTAGTTTGGTGCAAGAGGCCTCTGATCTGTAAACTAGCTGCAGTAGAAGCACAGCGTCAGCATTAGGCAGAAGGTCCCTCTCGAGACTTGGTAGTCTACACCGGCCCCCGCCGAAGTTAGTTGGTAGCACTGCCGCTCCACGGCGTACATTTCCTACCAGCCCATAGGGTTTACATGTTAAATGGCCTGTTTTCGGCGAGCGATATCTCGGTCAACCTTTGAAGGAATCAATGGTTCTTAGTCTCAAATGATAGATCGATGAATTTTCTTTCGACAATTCCTCTACCATTTTTCACGAAACCCAGCCGATCTTCTACGGCGTACAGGGTAAAGATTTCTCTGCACGCCAGCACCCGCGATCCGCCTCTCCGATCGTCGGCGCGCGGTCCTCGGTAGCGCAGTCGGTAGCGTATTGGGCTACGGATCCGAGGGTCGTGAGTTCGAATCCTAGGGGCGCCGCGTGATTTTGGCTAGAACTGAATGATGTAGATTCTTGAATGTGTGCATAATCAATTATTAATAGCTAATTGAATGTATCTGCCCACTTATCGGCCCTTAAAACCTGTTATTTAAGAAATTTAAGAAATGAATGTCACGTGCGCGTCATGACTGCCAACCATAAGCGCTACCATATTCTAGTTTGAACTAACTTTTTGCTAGTCCCGACCACATATAGTAGGTTTTCTAGTAGTTATACTAGAAATTCCTACCAAAGTTCGTCCTACCCTTCACTCAATATACCCTGGTCTACACTATTTATAGTCACCGTGGTCTACACCAGCCTCTCCATCATGTCCTCCGTGTTGATACGAGCGCCGCATGCCTGCTGTACGCTGGCAGCGCCCTCTGTAACTCCCCGGTCATTGACTGTCTCTCCCCCTCCGCTGACTCTTCCCTCCTCCACTGACTCTCCCCTTCTTCAATGACTCCTCCTCCACTGACTCTCCCCTTCTCCACTGACTGCCCTCTTCCACAGATTCTCCTCCACTGACTCTTCCCTCCTCCACTGACTCTCCCCTTCTCCAATGACTCTCCTCCACTGACTCTCCCCTTCTCCGTCAGGTTCGCTACCCGACTCTACACGTCATCGCCTCAGTGCTGGCCTGGATGTCATCTGTCATCAACCCCTTCATCTACGCCTTCTCCAACCGTAACTACCGCAAGGCCTACCGACAGCTGCTCTGCGGCAAACGACGTCCTTCTAGCACTCACAGCGCCGCCTCGCGCTCGGCCAGTTCGAGAACCTTCTTCACAGACGTGTTCCAGTTCAATGCCAAGGCTGAGAGCCTCGTGCAGAAGAACGGCAGGCGTCAAGACAAGTAAGCAGCAGATATGGAGGACGAAGTGGAAGTGAAGAGGAGGGAGATGAAGGGATGAGGAAGAGTGGAGAGAGGGAGGGAGGAGGGGAGAGGTGAGGAGCGAGCACCAGCCGCCGACGCCCGGTAGGTACAAAGTGCGCGTGGCCGCTCTGCCGTCTCTGCCGGCGTCAGACTGTGGCGGAAAATCAGTGGCGATGCGGCGTGAGAGAGTGAGAAAACTATGAGCGAGTGAGAGGACTGTGAGCAAGTGAGAGAGTGTGCTGTGCGCGGATTTTGGAGGTGGCAACGCTGGAGTGGAGGGCGAAACGGGTGGACGTGGAAGCTCAGCAGGCTGTCGCGCGGATTATCGGTGAATTGGTGAGGAAATGTGAGTACATATGGTGAGAATGTGCTTGTAAAATGTGCATATGTTTGTGGTGTGTGATGACTGTACAGTTTTCGGTATAAAGTGTGACACATTCGGTCGATCCATGCTGACGCTGCCAATAGTTGTACACCGTGGCGACTTATAGGTTTGTATGCGTTGGAATATGGAGATCTCGCCACTTTGGAGTTTCACGTCTTCCCACTCACGAGTTTGCATGAGCATGCTGTGTATGGCGCGGAAGAGATAAAGCTGCTAGATGTTGCCCTTAATTATGTTTTTAAGCATTAAGTGTTAGTTGCACTGTCAACTTTGTATGCCATGGCACATGGAGACCACCCGCACATGTTGGCGAGCGCTATTCTCCCACGCATCTCATGTTTGTGGTAATATGGCGACAAGAGTGAGGTTTAGCATGCCATTAGCTGAGCCTATTTTAGTGATAGTTTACGGTTATAGTTGTCTCTGCTATAGGTTTAGGGGGAGCATGTCTAATGCTTTATTTATTTTTATTTTTGGCCTTTTCCGTTACCGGTAGGTTTGTAACTACTGAAAGTATTTTAAATTTGCGGACATAAGAGGTGCATATTTTTGCCAATTTTTTATACAGTTCGAGCTTTTATGCGCCTATCGGCTTTCGTCCTTTTCTGATTTATTAAGATTGATTGTTTTTACATTGAAATGTCATTGATGACAAACGGGTGTTAACAGCGTTTCTTCGATGGATGTAACTCGTTGGAAGATGGCGTTTTTCGGTCCCCGCTCACCGTCTGTTCCCAACTGTATTATTTGTTGTTGAAAAGAGTGTCTTGTTTTAATGTGAAGCTGCACAACGTCTAACAACCAATGTATTTGTGACGATTTTAGAGTTCCCGCAATGCGTTCCTCGCCATATTTTGAAGCTGCTGTGCCCTGCTGCTGGTCGGTGCATTGATTTTCATAGAGTGTCGCAGATTGGACTAGTATTGTAGGTATGTTTGATCTGGAGATAACCGCGAGGTTCACTCTGTGTCGGCTGTCCGCAAGTGGCTTGCTTAATAAACGGAAAACGTTTTCATGTGTTATTTGCTAAGTAACCGAGCGAATGTGTGATAAACGTGTCGACTGTCGAGCATGAACTTATTGAAATTGGATAGGGAATGGTCTCAGTAATTCAGGTAACGTTAGGCTATTCGTACGCACCAAACTGGCAAGCGATTATCAATTTCAACCAGAATGGCAAGCAAGCCTCAAAATAGGGTCTTACGTTATCCTGCATATCTGTATGCAGGTTAAAGTTACGCGAATGGGTCCTTGCACTCGCAGAGAGGATGGGTGACCCTATCGATCGGCGCACTGTCCGTACTGGTGCCCTATGTAATTACTAGAGTTAGGTTAGTTTAAAGGTGACTGTAGTCGGCTTCCCGGTGCTCCACCAAAAAGGGCGCGTTCCGCTACCGGCTTTATTGACATACACCAACGCCAACGCGCGCCGTTGCTGCGAAACCAGGCGCGGATCCAGGGGGGGGGGCGACGGGGGCGGCCGCCCCCCCCCCCCGCCATCCGAAAAAGGCGCCCATATCCCGCGGCAGAGAGGGCGCCCCGGCCCCCGAGCATAAGAGCGGCGACACAGCAAAGGTTCAGCAGAAATAGGGCGCCTCCAGCAGAAGTTGGGCTCACCAAGCAGGAGAGTGACGCCCAATTGCCTATTCCCAGCAGATGAGAGTCCCATCTCCATCTCCATCAGCGCCCATCTCCAGCAGCAGATGGGCGCCCCCAGCAGAAGAGGGCGTCTCGTTACAAGAATATAAAATACCTTCTGTTCAAGAGGCGCCCCCCCCCCTTCACCTTCTGCCCTTCCCTGGCAGCGGAAGGGCACCCTTAGCAGGAGACGTGTCCCCCTGAAGAGGAGCGACGCCCCAGCAAAAGGAGAGAGGCGCCCCCATTCCGAGAAGAGGGGCGCCCTGACAGCAGATGGGCGCCCCAGCAAAAAAGGAACCCCATGGCCCATAATAAGAAAATGGGTGCCACTGGCAGAAGAGGGGCGCCCCAGCAGAAGAGAGGGGTCTCCAGCAGGAGACGGGCGCCCCAAGCAGAAGAGGGGCGCCCCAAGCAGAAGAGGGGCGCCCCAGCAGAAAAGAGGCGCCACAGCAAAAGTTAATCAAAACTAGGGAGCCTCCAGCAGAGGTTGGGCCCGCCAAACAGGATATGGGCGCCCCATTGACAATATCCGGCAGAAGACAGACGCCCCAGCAGCAGATGGGCGCCCCCAGGGCTGGAAAAAGTGTTTCGGTGGTTGTCGTCCAAAGGAAAACGGGCTTATTTGGTTGTCAACTCAAGATGTCTAACCCGCGCCCCGCTGAGGGTCCTTGATTTCCACGCCCTGCTCGGGAGGGGGGGGGGGGTCAAACACCCCGCCCTTTAAACTCGGATCCTGGGTCACGTAGTGACAAGCAGTAAACGGCATTCGAAAGAACGTTCAAAATAAGGACGAAAATATGGCATTCGTTTTATAGGCTAAGTCAAAGGTCAGGTCACCAGAGGTCATTAAATGAAAGATATTGCCTTTCATTTTTTTTTTTAACACCGGCGCACAACTCGGGAACCAATTATAACAGAGCTGTTGCACAGCGCCGCGGAAAAGATAATTCCGCTCCTTTTTGATAGCGCAGGGCGCACAGCCGTCAGGCTCAATTGTCCGACGATCCGTGTTCCTCGACCTCGGAAGTCCTGAGCCACCATATCCTCGTGGGCATGACATGGCGTGCCCTCCCCCCGGCCTCATCAAAACATTACCGGCACTGACACGGTCCCACTCAAGATGTCCCGCCGCGGACCTACCCCCAGGCGCCGCCGGGGGTGGGTTTGACGTCACAAAAGGAGCCCCGGCGGATTGGAGGGGACGCTAACTGACCGCCGGCCGGGGGCGGCGCTGAAGGGTGCGGGCAGGGGCCGGCAGTCCTGGAAGGTACTAGATTTGCCAGACACGTGTCGCCAGCGGACAACCACGGCGACCACTTGGTATGCCATTGGTCGTCTTTATGAGGGTCGCCGATCGGCCGTCCGAACGATGGTCGAACGACGCAGTGGCCGTTTTCACGACGGAATAGCAGGCATCTATTTAATCCCCATTTGATCCTTTGGTTCCTCAGGAATTTTAGTAGTTCTTTTTAGTAGGTTCCCCAGCTTTCGAATGAATGGTGCGTTAGTTTGCTATTTTTCTATTAAATATCACATCGATTTACTTTATCTAAGGATTTATCACTAATATCAACATAAAGCGTAATCACAATTATAAAATTATGAAATTATTAAATACTAGTACAATAGTTAAAAAAAGATACTGAGTTGCCAGGCTACAAAGAATATATTCATTTATGGCGCACGACAGACATTTAGAAAGCAGCGCCCTGTTTTATTGCACGCTGCTAGCCGCTTCCATTGGGTTTTGCAGGCCGACGTCATTGGTCGTTACACGTATGATGTCACGCGACTTGTGGCCTGTCACGGCTCTTTAATGATCTCCACTAAATGAATGCAACAATGGCCTTTTAAGTTGATCTCTGTGGCCATCTGTCTATGGAGCGACCAATATGAAAGTTGGGTGAATTTACCGGGGTTACATGACTATGAGCAAGCAAATGTGTATCAGGAATGGATTTAGGTGAAGAATTGCGCTGGACCATGAGTGCTCGAACGCTCCCAATTCCACGCCGGTTTGGCTTTGGAGCCGAGACAGACGATGCGGGTCAAGGTCACCGCTGGGGTAACGGTGGATTGGCTGCGCCCGAGCACCCGTAACGCGGCACAATTCTCCATCTATGGATTTTCCTATTCGCTCAGCATTGTGATAGGCGTTCGTAATAGCATTTACTCTGCTCATGTACCTATCCCCGGTTATTTAAAAGAAGTTTTTGTGGGGGAATATCACGGCTTTAGGTACTCGGTGGCCCTATTCACGACTTTCAAAGAATGCTCCGATAACTAAACACCGCACAGATCTACTGCATTAGTGAATCTGACAGAAGGTCTGTGGAATTACATGCCCCCTCACCACACCCCTAAAAACTCATCCAGTGTCCAAAACCACTTTTATCGACTCGCCAAAAAACAAAACAAAAAAATACACACACATACACACACAAAGCATGGGGCATGTCAGCTCTCAGTTCATTTATCATTGTCTTTACCATGGTTCAATTGCATTGCGCGATTTAAAGCACGTGAGTGCCTATATAGTATATATGTAGAAAATAATATCTACAGCAAAACATCCAAAATTACAAAGGCTACAATGCTTAAAAAGTAGGTTCATCAAGGAAGCCCATTTTTACTTGCGTTGTGTTGCCAACCATGCGATTCCAACGCGGGCTATTCGCAACGTCTGTTAAGGCACGTTAACAACTGACAAGCCGCCACCGCTGCCACTTATTCATAGATGGTTGATATCGCAGCTTGGGCGTCAGCAGCGCGGCCCACAACGCGTCGGCGCCAGCGCACGCAGCTGTTGGCACTCGGCAGCCGGTGTTGCGACTTAACGGCCGGCCGGCTCCATGAAGGAGAAGCTCTTGGTGAAGCTTTGTGATCGCCTCATAGCCGCCTTGGATGTCATCTTTCTTGGCAGATCCATCCGTTCAGATGGTACGGTGCAGTCTGGATAAAGGACGAAGTCCAACGCCGCTAACCCCGCGACCGCCACCCCACAACGTGGCCGCAGACCGAACGGGCGTGAGGGCCGTAAGGGCCACCCGCCATCCGGTAGGTGGCTGAGCAGCCGGGCGCAGCGGCGCCTGGGCGGCGGCCGCGCTGAGATGAAGTCCCAAACCGCCATGTCGCCATCACCGCCATCACCATTGCTGCAGCTGTTCCCAACCGCCTCAATCGCCGCCGTTTTGCCAGCAGTCGCGCCGCGGAATGGCAGAAGCTCCAGAGTAGCCTCCAGCGCCCCTCTCCGCACGTGTGCAGGTGCACTGCGGCCGCCGGGTCCGACGTCCAGGCAGAACATGATATTTCCATGCTGCTCCGACGGTGGGCTGGTCTTGTTTGGGCATTCCTCCACTGTGACGTCGGTCACGCCTGCCCCGGCCAGGGCGCAGAGGCCGACGTGTCACCATCCGGTTGCGGTCCTCAGTCGGGTGGCAACGTGTACCTCTTCCGCAGCGTGGAGCGCGCTCCCGCTGGGCAGCGATACAGCCAAAAGTAGCATGCGGGCGGCCAGCGCTGCGCCGGACAGCGGACCCATGCCGGGGGTATGCCGGTCTCGGCCATTAGCGGGGTCGTCGGGGCCGAGGCTGTACATACAGCTGGTGACCGCGTGAGCCGCCAATCGAAGCTCACGGCTTATAAGCTCGACGCGGGCATCACACGCCGTCCCGATGGGAGCTCCACGACGCCGCCGCGAACTCCAGCGCGGCTCGCAGCGCGAAGACCAGTACGGACGGCCGGGGCAAACGGCGTGCGGGAGTCGCAGGCGACGTTCTGCGGATAGAAAGGGTTGGGCATAAGCTGGTCGGCAGGACACTCTTGAGCCGAGCCTTTGATGTAATTACAGATGATCCAGAAGCATGCACAAAAATTCATGACACACTATTCTCATTTATGTATTTGCTACATATGATATGATATACCAGCTCATGATCAGTGACGCATTCTGGGCAATATGTTCTAAAGTGAAGTAACTGAAGTTACAGCTTAAAAGCTTAAAAAAACAGCTTAAAAAACACACACACATTCGATAGCTTATGAGAATAACATGCCTTGTGTGCTTAATGCAGGAAAATATTTTTTCACTTTTTTAGAAACAGCAAAAGAGTATTCAACAAGCCATGTCAACTATCTAAACAATTTTTATGGAAACTGCTCTAGCTAGCTTAAAGTTCCACAACGTTTCCGGAGCACCGTACCCAAACTCAGTTCATGTTACAAGAAAAACAGTAATAATGCCTCCTAATTTTGAATGAAATATAGGTATGAGTAATTTGATTTGGAAAGCAACAAATTTCCGCACATCATTTTAGCAAAATTACTATTTTCTTCAGCCATCAGGTTACACAAAACTATAGCAAACTTTATGATC